CTCCACTTGGTTTTTTGTGGCTGCTATTCAACAGTTTGAGTGGGCAGATGGAAGGTCTGACAAGCTAAGCACTCTGAGAAAGGTGAGAGTGGGGTCAGAAAACCTTTTTCTTCCTTTGTAACAGTGAACTGCTAAATGCTGAACTTTGGAATGTATTTTAATCAAATAAACTCCTGTAGAAACCTCTTTCAAGAGGGCTGTGCATTCCTGAGACAAAAATGAATTGCAAGTAGGTGGAAATACCTTCAGTAAGTTAAATGATACTTCCATGTGGAAATGGTGATGAATTATTAATGCCATTTAAAAGAAAAGCTGAACTCATTTGTTTCTTCCGTACTAGAAATAATTCTAGTTCACTAGACGTGAACTATTGTTCACTTTTATTATTCATTTTTTCCAAACTTCGGAAGTCCAAAGTTTGAAAAGATACATTTTATAACATCTCTTCTGCTGGTAACAGATCAGAGCTAAAAAGTAGTTACAGATGTATCCTTAATTTGATATTTTGATGAGGTGCTGGTCTTTTTCACTCATCTGACAGGTGTTTCTCTGAAAGTAAGTTAAAGAAAATGAGTGAGCAAGTGCTGATCTTTAGAGTGATGAAACAAATGAGCTAAAAAAAAGAATTGGAACCAAAATGTATTTGTGAAGTCATGTTATGTAATAATTTTGTAGATTGAGTCTTCGTGGGAGAAATTGAAGCAGTCAGAATTTATTTCCTTCCCCTTCTTCATTCCCCTACCCCCTGCTCTACAGGAAAGCAATGTACAGAAGGTGCTGGTAGAATTCCAGAAATTTTGTACTATATTTGTTTTGTTGTCTAGCAACATGTAGCTGTTGGAGTTAAGATGGGATTACATAACTTTTTAGGAAAGAAACAAAAGCCAAAAATTAAATTCTTGGTGAGAAATAAAGCTTTCTGATTAATCATGATGTACAAACTTGAGGCGTTTTGTTTTGGTATTTAGCTGCACCGTAAATCCGGACTCTTCAAGTCGTTCAGGATGAATATTGTTAGAGGTGCTTACCCAATGGCTGTATGGCAATCATGCCTTATTTTTCTTACAATAAAAAAAAATTTCAGGAGCTGCCTGAATCTGGTCTGCTCCACTATCTTACTTGTGAACCAAGATTAAAGCTTCCTTAGTCAATTTTGATCTTGGCCCTTTATTTTTTTAATATATTCTTCCTTGGAATTGTGTCTTCTGCTAAATCTTGGTTTTACAGAATGTACAGATTGCATTTATCAGCTCTGCACAGTAGTTCGGAAAATCTGAACTCATTCCTAAGTGTATAAATGGGATATGTGTGTTCTGCCTGCCATTAATGCTCCCTTAGCTTTCACTCACTGGCAATATTATTTTCAATCTTTGTTAAGAGTAATTTCTGTCCTTTATTTTCATTACAGTAAAGCTTGTAAAAGATCAGACATTTGATATCATTACCTTCCCCAGTAGGGGGGGGGTTCCCATGTGGTTGTATTGATAAATGTTATTGGTGAGCTGTTGCTGCATTTTTTGGAGTTTTTTTAGAGCTGTGACTGAATAGAGATCTAACAAAAGTAATATGTGCAGAGTTGTCCATGAGGAGCTAACAGTTTGTTGTTTTTCTGGCAGTAGGGAAGATGTTTAGTCTGTGTGGCCTTTGAGACAGACTTGATTGAAAGCTGTCATGTTTGTTAAATATTGTGGGAATTTATGCCTCTCTGTTAATCCTTTTCTGAATTCCAAAGTGGATATTTCAGAACTCTTCTTACACTTTTTATGCATCTTTGTGGTAGAAGAGGGTGCAACTGCAAGAAGTCATTTTGTGGGAAATATGTCTCTTCAGCAGGCTCAGCAGCATGTTGTTGAAATTTTTATTCTTATCAGTGTAAAAGGTGAGCTTTTCTTTCAGAGATTTTCCTGCAGTGTTCTCCATTTATTTGATGTTGTATGCATTTGAAATCAATTCACATTCAGAAGTGACACTTCTCAACTTTCCTTGGGAAGAAAAAAGAGAATTAAAAAGAAGGAAAAAAGTTGAGAGGAGGTATAACCTGAAAGGAGGAGGAAATGTAGAGTTAAGGACAGCAGATATCTTGTGAGTGAGATATCACATGTCTTTATATGGAGAAGGCCTTTGGATGGGTTACCCCTGCAGTGGCTTTGAGTGGAAAGCTGTAACCTTGGTAAGCTGTCCTGGCAAACTTTGTCTTGATGGTTTGGATCTGGGAGAGGAATTTGATGTGGTTGCTGATGCTTCACTTTACAGAAGTCAAGCATATTCTTTCCAGACACAGAGTTGTTTGTGTCCCTCTCCTTCCTGCTGTTCTTGTGTCCCTTGTCCTTCCTGACACCTCCTTATGTTTAGGGCCTACTATTGATTTCAGTATGCTACAAAAAGTAACTAGACATCCTCCTAAGTATTCCTTTGATCAGAATTTTATGTTTTTTGCCTTTTAGATGGAATTAACACTGGAAGTAAAAGAACAGCAGAAAGTTGTCAGAAAAGATTGTAAAACGTGCATTTAAAAGTTTTTTTACTGTTTACTGGTATTGTTGTGAAGTTTAATCTTAAAGTGTACTAAAGTCATTGCCCCTTGGCTCCAAAATTATAAATAAAAAAAATTCTTCAGGATGATTTAAATTGCCTAGTAGAATAATGAAAGCCAAACAAACTCAGGCAGAGGTTAGTCATTCCATAGCTTCCTTCTTGAAGCTTGCCTGGGATTCAATGAAATTGTTACTCAAGTTTTTCTAAATACATCCAGTAATGACTTAGTAAGTTTGGTAGCTTAGCACTGGTGAAAGTCTTTTGTATCAACAGAATCAATGGATAACATGGCAGTCTTGGTGTAGATGCTTCTGTTTTTCTTTGATTCCTGCTAGCTTTTCTGTTAGTATGCCTAACACTTTGGGGGACTTTTACATTTAAGATGTTATTGAAAAGACTATGCAGTGTATTTGAATCCTTCCTCTCCATAGGAGTTGTTTTTCTTTTTAATGTGTTTTCCAGGTCTAAAAAGAGACAAGCAAACAATCTCCTCTCAAGTAAAACAAAAAAGAAAATAAGCACAACCTCCTTGATCTAAAGCTCCTTCAACAAGTCTATATTAGGTTTTAAAAATTTAAAATCTACCTTATACTCTATTAGAAAGGCAAAAACTCCATATTTCTATTCATGTGGCAGAGCGGAAAAAAATCCCCAAATTCACTTGAGTGTGTAAAAACCCCAAACGTAGAAATCCCCCTCAACTTTTTGAAGTGTACCTGTCTTTGAGTTTTAAGAAGTGTACAAGAATTAAAAGAACTTTATATATTGTCTCTAGCAAGATTAGCTTTACATAATATTTTGGTGGTGATAACTTTTTTAGTTGATTTATAGACTTTCTTAGTTAAATTGTGTTTCATTCCTGGCAAAATTAGTTTAGTTAAATGGATTTGGGCTGGTTAGAGACAAGGTGATCTCTAAGTCATTCACCTGATATTTACAGTTCATAAAGGTAGAGATAGATAGAAGTGTTTTGCTTTCAGCTTTGCATCTAGGTTGTCAGTTAACCAAGTCTATTTTATCAGAGAATTAGAGAACCCATTCTCTTACTCTCTCAGGCTGATTCCATGAAATAAGTTTCTGATATTTCTTCCATTGTGACAGAAATGGAAGGGCAATACTTGGTCATACCTGGATAGAGTATGTATGTATTGCATCTTGTCCTGGTGCTTGGTGAGATGGTTGGGCAGTTACTGTTGAACAAATGATGTTCTTCTGAAAGGCTGGACAATCATTTTAGTAGTTAAAGATCAGCATGGGTAGTTTTTAAGATTCAAAACAGTTACTGAGTTTTCCTATAGCTATTCAGACTTACACATCTTTTCAAACTGCTGAATGGGATTTTTAAACCCCTTGTGTCAATCCGTATGAATGCATTTTTTTTACTAGCTCTCTGTAGAAGCAGTCTGAACAAATAGCCATACATTGTGCTGTTCTGGAGTTTTGTGTTACTTCACAAAAATTCCACAAATATATAATTAAAGAAATAAAATGCTTGAGTACCAGTAGCTTGTAAGTAACTTGCTCTCACAGCTGCAGTTTTTTTGCATCTTCTGACACTGACTGTCTAAGTAAACCATATTGCATTGCTAAGGAAAAAAATGACTTGTTTATGATTAGACTAGTAACTTCTGTGTTCTAAGTTTAATTGTTAGTTTTGTCAGACTGGCTGGTTTTGTATAGTATTTGTGTAAACTGTTCAAACAAATACAATTTGGGTCTGATTCTGTAATCCTCCAAAGATTGATTTCTGCCAATATGAAAGACTTCTATTATACTATAAAGGCTCTGGGATAAGAAGTTATTTTCTCTCTGTTGGCACAATTTTGTTCACACTGCCAATCCTTCATTCATGTTTTAAAAAATAAAAATTAAACACAACTGATTACATTCTCATCTCTTTTTTAGGAAGCACATTTGATTTGTATAGCTTTGGATATTTTATTCAGTTTATCATGGAAAATACTTATTTAGTCTGTAAAATATATGTCCCTTTTTTGGAAATGAAATCTAAATCAGATTTCACATTCTTATGCATGGAGATGTCAGTAGGGGAGCCAGAGCTAAAACCTTGCATTAATTTACATTAGTATCCCAACAAAAATACTGTGCAGGTGCAGAGATGCAGAAAGATAGAAATCTTTGGTGAAAAATGAATGAAGATCTTTGAAAGAAGCCATGTCTGGTTTTATTCCAGGTTCTTTTGTTGATTAAGTGATTATTGTAAAGATGGGTTATACTAACAACAGTGCATTCGTAAATGCTGGTTAGAATTGAAGAATTTCAGTTTGTGCACTTTGAAAACAAACATAAATACTTGATTTGCTTTTATGAAATTATATTATAAAACATAGCACAGGACTTTATTGCCATCTCTCTTCAATTTTGATAACACTTGATGCAATATAGAATGGATTGTGTTAAAGGGGAAGCTGAACTTAGTTTTTATTATCTTTTACAACTTCTAGAAATATAAAGAGAAAGATAAACACAAGCAAAAATATAAGAAGCAGTCGGAGTCGTCACCATCTTTGGTTCCATCTCTTACTGTAACTACAGAAAAAGTAAGTCAGTATGTTTTTTCTCCTCTTCCACTTCAGTTACTTATGTCAAAATTTAATGATGTAATCATTCCACTATATATACAGGAGCTTTATAATGGGATAAATTCTGTAATTATCAAGCACTCCTGGTATTTTTTCCTGTAATGTAAAATCCTAAAATACATGGAGGTTTACCATATGGAGGAAGGCTTAGAGTTTTGTATTTAAATTGTGAGTCGGATGCCAGTGATACTCCAGTAAATTTTACTAAATTGAGGTGTATTTAATAATTTGAGAAGTTTTAGAAAGTCTTTCCTTCAAAATACACTTGTGCATGCTGAGCTGACACTGAACCTCTAAGCATTTAAAACTGGTAGTTATGAAATTACAGCTCATGCTTCATATACTTAAAATTTGTCTTATTAGCAGGTTGTTCTGTTAGGTTCTCTGACCTTTCCTTCCTGTTGATGTTGATCTAATTCCAGCAGCAACATACTGGATTATATAATGACAGTTCTGGTACTCAGCAAGAATCACTTTAGCTATCCACTAATAAAATGACACTAATGTTGGTGTTACAGAGTGGGAAGTACTACTGAGGGTTTTCTGATTTCGAAGTTGGAAAAAAAGTGTCCCATTCATGTTTGACACTGGAGTCAGGGAATCATGGTTTGAATTGAATTGTGCTTAGTACACAGATCGTCGTGTTTTAGTAAAGGTGTTGAGGCTTGTGTTAACTGTGTGTGGTTTGGTTGCTGAGGTGTTACATTCAACAAATGTGTGTTTGCATATGGTACACCAAGACCTTGTCAGGACAGGGTGAAACTATTGAAATACTAACTTTCTCTGGTCTTTGGAAGTATTCTCTTAACTAGTGGTATCAAATTCAAGAATAATCTCCAGGAAAGTTAGATTTTCAGTATGCTTTGCATATTTCTTTATTCTCAATAATAAGATGATTAACTTGAGAATTCATCCCTGCTAACATCCCATTATTTGTAGCTCACACTTCTCTTCAGAGTCTTGTTTCTTGTTCTGCTGTGTTCTCTTTGATGCTGTTATGTCAAGTGAGACTTTGTAGTCAGTGATTTTCAGAAACTCTGAATAACTATTAAAAAAAAATAGAAGAAAAGGTAGAGTCAATTTACCACTTTGCTGGCTTGATTTAAGAGCAATTAGAGACTGCAATCAGTGAGTGTGACAGTTTCTATTGAAATTAGGTTGTAGAACACTTTGAGTAGTATTGATTGGTCCACATGATTGGCTATTTCATTTTATTAATTTGCCCCTAAACATACTCCTTTTGAGTCTGAGACAACTTCTAAAATTCATAGCCTGTAAGAGCAGCTCTGTGGAAACTTGTGTGGAAACTTCTTTAAGCTTTACAACCTTTGTTTAGGTTTTATATTATGTATGATCTTATCTTTCTTGAATTACATCCCTCTTGTACTTTGATTATCTAATCATCATAAGTTTTTACAGAAAGTGATATTACTGTAAATTAATTATTACAGAATATATTTCTGTAAAAGTTAAAGAAAATATATTGAAATATTGATTCTCTTTTGCATCCTGCATATTGGAACATGCTTTTAATGCCAAAGACACAGTTGGATTCTGTTTTTCTGCTAAGCTTATTTCTAATTGCTTTGTCCTCCCTATCCTTTTCCTAATTACAAGCTTTACTCATATGGATAGTCACAAGGATGAGCTAGAGTGAACACTAAAGTGAACAGAAGAACCTCTAATTCTAGAACTTAATATACAACTTAATTAAACTGAAACAGAATATTAATTGTGGAATTTGAATATCACTATGCCCTCTTAGGTTTTGTATTTAGTCTTTTGCATGTGGATTTTCTTTACCTAAGCTGTTTGCTTCATTTATTGCCTTTTTTAAATAGTGCTTCAAATCATCAGGAAATTTGGTGTTCAGATTTTTATTGGTGTTTACATTGGAAAACCGGTGTTCAGAGGTTCCTAAGTACGATTATGTTTGTTTAAAAAGTATCTGCTGTATATATGGAAGTGATTTTTTTTGTTGTTGTTGTGGCTAGTTTCTTCACTTACTTTTTTTCCTAAGTCCTTTTAACACCATTTGCATGCATTTACTTTTCTAGGTTATAAACTCATAATATGTTCCTTAAAACTTTGAAATTTTAGTAATGAAACAAGATTTATTTTGTTCTAAGATGAATATTTGGTTCAGAATATTGTATTAATGTATTACTTTTATGTGCCCTTTTACATAAAGTTGCTAGAATTGATTTGAACCTGGTCTCTGTTTCACAGCAGTCTTTCTTTGTATTGAGTGCATGACTGTATTGTGGTATATAATCACTTCTGCTGCCATAATGCTCCTGTGGGAGGAACTGAAATTTGAAATGGAATTTGTTTTTCCTTTTTAAAGATGTTAAACCTTTGTAAATCCGGTAGTAATGACCATTTATGCAGGTGATGTCTTAAAGCATGTTTTTATCTGGATGAGTGGTTTCTTTAGATAGAATCATGAAAGACTGCATGATAAACTGAATTTACCTTCTGTTAGTGTAGTTGAATTGCCTGTTTGTTCTGCAGAATTTAATTTCAAGAAATTCTGCTGAGGTTCCAGCCCCTGCTATTTTGAGAGGCACTTTTGTGCATCCCTGTAATGTCACAGCAAATGTTGTTCAGTCTGAATCAGTTAAGTTTGAAATAAGAAATGCCTGACTACTCTTTGATTAATGTAGTAGCACTACATTTTTTCACTTTTGAGACATGATATAAAATGTTTTAAGAAGAACTACAATAACTTAGGACTTTGAATTCTTTGCTGCCTCTTCTTCTGTCTTCCTTCTTAGTTGGGAAGAGCCATCAGCCGTGTATTAACTCCTGGTAAAAAATTTCTGTCTCTCGTTTTGAGCTTTGCGTCTCTCCAGCAGTGTGGGGAGATGGGGAGTGAGGGTTATGATCAGTTCGTCACTGGTTGCTCCTACAGCTGCTTTAGGGGAAGAGTCCTCCCCCAGCTCCAGAATCCCTTGCATGGAAGACACTCCTTCACTAACTTCTCCATCATGAGTCCCTCCCATGGGCTACACTTCTCCACAGACTGCTGCAGTGTGCATCACTTCTCCACAGGTGCAGTCCTTCAGGCACAGCCTGCCTCCAGTGTGGATCCCCCACAGGGTCACAAGTCCTATCAGGAAACCTGCTCCAGCATGGGCTCCTTTCTCCACAGGTCCTGCTAGGAGTCATGGGGACACAGCCTCCTCTCAGGCACCCACTTGCTCTGATGTTGGTTTCTTATATGGGCTGCAGGTCGATCTCTGCATCCCCATGGATCTCCATGGGCTGCAGAGGCACAGCTGCCTCACTGTGGTCTTCACCATGGGGCTGTAGGGGACTCTCAGATCTGGTGCCTGGAACACCTCCTGCCCCTCCTTCTTCACTGACCTTGGTGTCTGCAGAGTTGATTCTCTCACATGTTCTCAGTCTGCTCTTCTCTGGCCACAGTTACATCTGCCCAATGACCCTTTTTTGTTTTCCCTTCTTCAGTTTGTTGTTACAGAGATGCTATCACCATTTCTGATGGGCTCAGCCCTGGCCAGCATTGGGTTGGTCCTGAACCCAGTTGGAATTGGCTCTGCTGGATGTGGAGGAAGCCTCTGGCAGCTTCTCACAGCAGCCCCCCTGTAGCCCCCCACCCAACCAAAACCTAGCCATGCAAACCTAGTTAGTTTTGGGAGGTTTTTGGGTTGGTTGGTTTTTGCTCTGACTCTGCTTTTACCATCTGGCATTTTTGTGGAGAATTACTTGCTATGGTCCTTCACCTCTCTGTGGAAGGGTACTGCATTATACATCTGCATAGGGCTAAAGAGCACTCAAACCTTGGAACTCACTATGTATACCAAGAGTAATTATTGCATGTTTACCATAAATCCCCAGAAGTTTTAAGACTTGCTGCAGATGGATGGTGTAACTCCTCAGGGTGCACAGAGTGATAGATGGAGAGCATAAAAATGACAGTAGCTGTCTGTGCTTAGGGTATATTTCATCATGTTAGTGTTCGTGATTCTCTGAGTAAGCATGTAGATTTTAGTACACCTTATTGCACCTTCTGAAACGCAAGCAGCTTTGGGAGCAAAATTTTCCAAAGCAGAACTGTGTTGTGCATGCTTATTCTTCAAAATCTGCCAGGAGTGGGATTCAGACTTGCAGTCAAACCAAATCTCGGCACAATGTTTGCAAATTAATGTCTACTTGTCATTGTCTGGCCTGGTATGCAAATAGATTGAAATATTTGCTTTCCTCAAAGCTTGTCTATTTAGTTGTCTCATGTTATTTGCAACTGAAAAGTAAGGTTTATGTAAATGCCTTAGCTGTTTTAGTAAAATATGGAAAACTTTGTATAGCTGCTATACAAACCTTTATATAAAGATGAAACATTCTGTTGTAGGCCTAAATTCAGCAAGCATCCCACTTGGGGCAGGGAAAACGTGTGTGTATGCTCAATTTTAAGAGGCGTGTGTTTGTGTGGTCTTTAATGGAGATAACTGTAGATCCTATTTTGAATTCTATTCTGTAAAGAACTGAAAAAAAAAAAGCTTGTTTTGAACAGATGAGTAGCTCCTAGGTTTGATTCATATGTTTTTTTAAGAAGCTTTAAACAGCTATTTTACTAGGTGGCTTGAGTATAAATAACAGTAGAAATTTTTTCTTTTTCCTGAATTTGCTTTCATTTTCTTTCTTACATTATAAAAATTCTGTTACCACAACACCACTCCAACTTCCTTCCGTCATGAGAACAATAAAACTCCCTTACATGGTTTCCTAATGTTGTGTATGCAGTTTCCATGCCCACCTAATTACTTTCTGTGAAACCTCTTTTGGCTATTGTTCACCAATAGGAGCAATTCTGGCAAAATTTAACAGACAAACAATGGACCTAAAGATGAAATTTCTAAAAGCCCTGTGGAGAGTGTAAGAAAAGGGCCAGAATTCTTGGGGTGGGTAGGGGTTGAGGAAGAAATTTGCATTGGGAGCTCAAGAGTATTTTCATACCTGTCAGAGAGCAGGTTTGAAGTAAGTGTGTCTCAGTCAGCTCTCTCATGTGTCTTCTTTACTTGGTGATTCTTAAGGAATTGGATGAATGGGGGATGGTTCACATGCCAGGAAGCTGATTTTGGTTTGGTATTGAGGCTATAAAGTCGTAAAAATCCAAGTTTTTAGGTTCTGATGCCTTCAACAGTTCCACTGCTGATTGGAGCAACATTTTCAGTCTAACAAAAAAGGCATAAAAATGCTATTCTCAGAAAAGCACTAAAAGTTTATTTTCTAATTTTTAATTTTAAGCATAAAATAACAATATCCTATTTAAATAGACTATAAAGACAGTACTCCTGAGATTTTTCCATTTACCTCAGTGAAGTAAAAATTTCGGCCAAAGCCATTATGCATTTTTTTTTCACAAAATTATGTTTTATGTACTTCAGTTATTTGCTGAGAATCTTCACAGTTAGGCTGCTGTAATTCTTGCTCTTTCTAGTTACGGTAGTATTTGAACACTTCTGTGTTTGTTTGAAAGAATGAGATCCTTTAAACAGTTGTTGCAGTTTTTTGTGTGACTTGTATCTTTAATTTCTTCTCTTTTAAAATGCCAGACATACACAAGCACTAGCAACAACTCCATGTCAGGCTCCTTGAAGCGGTTGGAAGATACCTCAGCTCGATTTACAAATGCAAATTTCCAGGAAGTTCCTACACACGTTTCAAGTGGAAAAGATTCTTCAGAGGCTAGAGGGTCAGAGAGCAAAGGGAAGAAATCTGCAGGTCACAGCTCAGGTCAGAGGGGAAGAAAGCCTGGTGCTGGAAGAAATCCAGGAACAACTGTGACTGCAGCTAGTAGCCCTTTTCAGCAAGGTACTGATTGTTATGTTGTAACACAACTTCTGCTTTGACATGAATTAGAAATTTTATGTATGCATAACTTGAATCTTTTATCTTCAATACTGACAATGTTATTTCACTTTAGGGAAAAACCCAACTTTTTTTTCAGGATAAAAATGTTTGTTGCTCTAACATGAAAAAGAAAGTTGCACATTTTTAAAAGGCAGAACCGATGCTTTTGTTCAGACTGTTAGGGTATTCTCTTCAGCTGCAACCAGAAGTGTCTTTATGTGCCAGAAAGTTAGTCTGGAGTAAACTTTATTATGAATTTGAGTCTAGAGGTCTTAGCTCTTTAAGGGAGTAATACTGATGTTTTTTAGTCAGTGCACTGGCTAAAGAACAGAACTGGACTCCCTAATGCATGGGATGCATTGACCCCTCAGTAATTTTTCAAGATGCAGATATATAAAGTATATTATTTTCTTCAGAGTGAATGACCTTTCTACTTAATTGTTTCGTCATTGAAATATATATACAGAAGGCGAGTATGTAAAAAGTATGTAAGGTTTATTTACCTTAGGTAATATAAAATCTTTTACTTTTTGAACTTGCTAAAACCCACTTACATGCACTGTGAACACTTCTGAAAAACAAATTTTATTATGGCATCTTTGTCAGAGTTGAAAAACATTATTTAAAAATATGATTTTTAAAAAATTCCTTAATTATTAAAACATGTTACTCGGAAACACAAGAAACTAGGCCTTTTATAAAGTAATTTCTAGTAATTTTCACTGTGGTGTCTAGTAACTGATTGTCTTCTATGCTTTGTGATGTTGATTTTCCTTTGAGTTTATTTATGCAGTAAACACTTTTAAATTTGTCTAGATCTCTTTCAATATTTCAGGTTTTTTTACTTGAAGAAAGAGAAAGTGCTTTTTTGTTTAAATTCTCAAAGCTTTGAAAATTGCCTTCTGGAATTCTTCATTTAAAGAAAAATCTTGACTGCAGATAGCAAAATAGATTTTCACTATGTGCATGCATTTTCTTTTGGGCTGCATTAAATGAAGTTGATATAACTTATTTAAAATACAAAACAATGGTACTTTAATTTTTTGTAATAGCTGTATTTATGTAAATTGTATTTTAAATGGAATTCTTAGCAGTGTTTAGTGGAATACTAATGATGAAACACTAGTTTTTAAAGGACATGGGTTTTTAATACCTCATGTCATACTTAGGAGTATTTTCTTGATGTTGTCGTCAGTCTGAATTCTGTGAAACAGTACCCACATACACCCACCTGTATAAAATCAGTGCATTTCAGTGCAAGTAGATGTTTGTCTTTCCCAAGAGTGCTTATTTTTCTGCTTTGAATGCACTAATACAGTGATGAAATGACTGCATTGCAAATACTGAAGAAGGAATATAATTCTATTACACAAAAGATCTTTATGGTTCTGTGACAGTGCTAAAGAAGTCTTAAAATTTTATACACTGGTTTTCACTTTCTCTCTTGTACTTTTGAAAAATGTCTTCTGTCGAACTTCTCCTCAGCCAGGGAGAATTAAGCCCAGTTGTTGTTCCCTTGACCTGTGTCAGACCCTTGATTTTAGGTAGAATGTTAAAGAAGATTGCAGACATAGTGTGTATGTGGTCATAGCACACTTCAATCTGCTTTCTTTTTATATATGTGTATGTTCAGAAAAAACTGCTCCAGTTTGCACCAAGTGTTTGGCTTCAAAACATGATGGATGTTAAAGCTGCCTAAAGTTGTTGTTCTTCTTTTATTCATTTTCACCTTGTTTGTGCCCCAGATGCCAATCTGAATCTTAGAAAGGAGTCTGAGAATCATTTCCACCAAAGTGGAGAACCAATGAGTTATTTTAAAAATTGTTTAGCTCTTGTTAAAGATTTTCATAAAGTCCTTTCACATTAAAGTTTTTTATTCTAAGATCGTTACACTTCCTATCAGTTTTCATCAATTACTGGGAAAAATGTAATTGTACTACTTTGTTTTTTTAGGAAGCTTTTTGGGCACTCCTGGGAGCATAAAGTCATCTTCTGGAAGTTCAGTTCAGTCTCCCCAAGATTTTTTGAGTTTTACAGACACAGATCTACGAAGTGACAGTTTCACACATTCTCAACAGGCTTCGTCAACCAAAGATGTACATAAAGGAGAGGCTGGGAGCCAAGAGGGAGGAGTCAATTGTTTCACTTCCTTAATTGGTCTCCCTTCGTCGTCAGCAGCTGTTTCCCAATCTAAAAACTTTGACAGCTCACCTGGAGACATAAGTAATTCAAGCCTTACTTCTACAGCATACAAACGAGCTCAAAGTTCTGGAATAGAAGAAGAAACTGTAACAGAGAAGAAACGGAAAGGAAATAAACAAAGTAAACATGGGCCTGGTAGACCTAAAGGAAATAAAAGTCAAGAAAGTCTTTCCCATCTTTCAGTTTCTTCTGCTTCCCCAACTTCATCTGTGGCATCTGCTGCAGGAAGTGTGACAAGCTCTGGTCTTCAAAAATCTCCAACTTTGCTCAGGAATGGAAGTTTACAAAGTCTTAGTGTTGGTTCATCTCCAGTGGGTTCAGGTAGGCATTTATTGGATTTGTTTTCTTACTTCAAAATATGTTTTTGTTATTTTAGATATAATTCTGAGTATGCTTTTCAAGAACATAGTATCATGTAAAGTATCGTGAAAATCACACTAGGGGAAAAAGGACTGTTGGAAAAGTAAGTTTTGTTCCATGTATAGGTGCCACTGTGCTGTAGGTGGCTGTAGTATTTTGACCTATGTGTTGACCTGGAGGCTAATGCAGGTTTTGAATCTGTAGGGGGAAAAGTTGCATGAAAATAGGTTATTTGAAAATTACATATGACAGGCTTAACTAAAAAAAAGTGATAGCTAGTATGGACTTGATTGTCTGTGTGTTCTGTTACACAGAGAAAACAAAATTGGTACTCAGGTATGTCAGCTTTGCTGAATGTGTCCCTCAATTACGTTTTCCCAATTTAGCTTAACTGAAAATCACAATGTCTACATGGAGAATGACCAGTTTAAACATGTAGAATTGTATTCTAAATCTGGACTCCTGTGCAGCTGGATGACATATTCGTATTCTCATGTGCTGTTTAGCAATTGAAATTAGCTGGTTTGTTCTTCCTCTGTTCTAAATGTTATGCGCATCTGGGGCTGTGAGAGGCTTTCTGTTTCCAGTAAACCTGTGTGTGGAATGGCCTGACAGAATACTCTTACCTACCCAAGTCTTTGCTGCTCTGAAGTTTCTTTCAAAGCCTTTTCAGTATAAAAAATAACAAATTACCTCACTTTTGAAACTTCAAAATTTTGCCCTTTTTGTTGTTATAGTGGCTTTTTTTTTTTTTTTCTTTAGTTTTCTATTTTGGGTGAAAAGAGAAATGGAGCTTGAATACTTGCTTGTGGGGAGGATTTTATGCTTTTTGTACGGTATGCTCTCACTCTATAAGCAAGATATATTTTTAAGATATACATAGTTCAAGGAAAAGAACGCTGTATTTCTTTCGGAAAAAGGCAGGTACTTAAAAATGTGATGTCAAAGCCATATTGTTTAAAGCAGTTAGATACAGGCAAATTATCCTTTTGCTTAAGGGTAATAATGGCAATGGCAGTAGCAACTAAATTAAAAAATACTTTTCCTGTATTAAGATCAATGGAAAGAAATTATATATGACAAAACTTCATAGTTCACTATTTATCTTTGTTTAAAATGCAGTTTTAAGAATATGTTCACCTCTTACCCGTTATGAACAGTGAGCATCTAACAGATTTACATCCATGTTCTGTTATTATAGTATGAACTTCTTATTTCTTTATTATCTCTTTGAGGTGGACTATGTATTGTTGTAGTTGGAGTAGGAGATGGAAGTACAAGGTCTTGATTTGAAGTAAATGACCACGTTTGCCCTCTTATATTGTTCTGCTCTCACCAGCTCCTTGAACAGGCCTTTTCCTGTCCAGGTCCATTCTTGCTTCCTTTGTCTTCATTACAGCTCACTCTTCTTTCTGGAAAATGCCAGTGATAATGTTAAACTCTTTGTAAATAAATGCATGGATGGAAATACCATGTCGGTTTTATTACTTTTATCATGATATTCAGCCTATAGTTTCACATCTATTAAGTATACCTAGGTTCCTGGTGGCCAGCATCAGACCTGTCCACTAAAACAGTGGTATTTTCTAAGGATGCCAAAGGACATGGATATGTATAAATTAACAAACAAAATTCATAAACAAAATCATCCCAGCAAAAACAAGAAAACCCAGAGATACAAAACCAAATGGGATGTCTTCGAGCACAAGCTCTAAATTTAACCAGAAACTTTCACTTGAATCAGCATATTTTTGTAATATACTCTTCTCCCTCATCTCCCATTTTTCTTACGGTTGTAGTGCTGCTCTCCTCGCTTCATCATAAACATTTTTTTGGTTTAGCAACCCAATAACTCAATTTTCAGCAATTTTTTATGTTGCAGTGGAGAAGGACATATGAATATTACCGGTATTATCAGAAACATGTATTTTTTCAGGCATAATATGCTAATATTTCTCTTTTCATTGTGCCCACCACATTGTCCAGTAACAAGATTCGACGAGTGAACTAAATTATTTGACCCAAGCTCCCAGATAAGATTTTGTACATGTAAATGTAGAGAGTGAAATCAGAGTGCTCAAGTCAAAAAGTTTTTATTGCCGCTTACTTGGAATTACCTTGATACCTCAAAGAAGCCAAATCAGAATGAGCTAGACCATACTAAACAAGGCTTTTGAGGCACTTTTACAAGAATTTCCTCCTCTTTTTTTAAGTCTTCCTAACAGCAGCTATCTGAAGCTATCATTCCCTTTCAGCTTTCTTAAGAGTACTTCTTGAGATCCATAAAAATTATGAAAAACATGACTTCACAGATGTATGATAATTGTGTTCATAGTTAATGTTCAAATGAGATGAAGTGTGAAGGGAAGCTTATTTTAGAAAGTAACGCAGATTCATCATGTACTATTTATACATAATTAAACGTCTTCCCAAAAAGTTTTACACAGAATAAGTATATTCAACTAATTTTGTAAAAATATTCGTCATTTCCTAACTTACCCAGTCTACAGGGCTTCTTTTTCCTGCTTAGTAAGAACTGAGATGTACCACGAATATAGCTATAGTATAAGGATGTGTTATTAGCAGCTGTTACAACACATACATTCAGGTTGTATTTCAGTTGCCGTGGAACAGATCTGATGTGTTCAAGGTTAAACTTCAATGTTCAATCTTTATGCTCTTTCTTATTTTTTTTTCTGAAATGTATTTATAACCTGACAGGAAACATTTTATGCATTACTTTAGCATTGTATTCCAAGGAATAAAATGAACTTTAAAAAAAAGAAAATTTAAATTGGTAGGGTGATACGGAATTTTTGCAGTAAATTAACGTTTTACCAGTACCCTCTTTAAAGAAAACTCACCAAATTTCTTTAGATATCAGCTCATTTACAAACCATACTTCTCTTTTTGTTGAGAATTGACCAGCACTGTAAGTTTATTGTCTGAAAAGGCCTAAGTAATTTATTGGAGGAGTTATATAAAGCTGATAATGGTTCACCTCAAATAGGGCTAGTCTTTGGAGTGATTTCAGGATCTGAATGTTTTAATAGAGGTGTGTGTGTGTTGATTTAATCTGAATTCAACAATTTTATAGAGCTATCTAACTTTCCAAGTCATTCTAGCTGTATTCTCGGGATTAAGTTCATTCTCAGCATCCTTCTAGGGAGTATTATTTAAAGATTTCTAGTCTAGTATTATAAAGCATTGAGAGCTTGTGTCCCTTGGCATTAGGAAAAAGAACATTTTATGTGATGTACTGTACCTTCTGAATTTTGTGGAATAATGTAGCAATGTAAAATCGAAAGAGTCAAGTATCAGAAGTTAGCTGAACTTTGTGTTTCATGGTAGATAAAGTTCTTGTGCAGTTGTCTTCCAAGTTCAGCATGGATATTTGCTGCTGGAACTATTACAGTGCTTCAGGCACTTCTCTGCCTTTCCCAGTTCTGCTCTTGATTTCAAGTGTACAACAAATTGTATAGTATCAACTTCAGTAGCTAAGGACTTCAGGGGATTATTTGCTTCAATATTTTAATTTTTGTAAAATTGATTTTATGCCCTTATGTGTACTGTAAACCCTAAAAAATGCTTATAAATTTTTTCTTTAAGAAGACTGGAAAAGATTAAATTACCAACTGAGCCTTGAAATGGTTAGCCCATTGTTTCAGCACCCTTACTTGTGTCCATCTTCTGAAATTCCTTTGTCCTGACTGAGACAAAATTAGAATTTGTCTTTCTACATTTTTATCTCCGCATCCTGTATATCCTGTTCTTAGCCAATCTGCAGTATGCTCTGTTTGGTAACACTTGACACTTTTTGGAAGAACAAACCAAACATCCAAACTCTTACTGTACTTTGTTAAAGCAGCATTTCAAATTCTGAGAAACTGTTAATGTTTTTGGCACAGGCCCCTCTGAGTTGATCTTGTGCAGTCAAGTTTCAGCCTTTATAAATGAGTTTGCTAAATGCTTCAGATTGGTTCCATGTATTTTGTTCTCCTTCCCCATCTGATTCAAGCAGTGCTGAAACCTTTGTCAGTTTTACACACGTTATGCTGTGCAAGATCATCGTGCTGTTAAGCTTGTTGTTGCACTGATGACATAAGGGAACTCTGTGTTTCAAAGCAGAAGAGTAACTTGAAATTATTGTCATTGAGATACGAAGTCCCTCAGTACTTGTGTTAAATCTTCATGATGCTGTGTTTAAAATTTGGCTTAGTAGCTGAATCTACTGGGAGAAAGAGTTTAGGAAAAATTATTCTGAAACAGTTTGTGCTGTTATGTTTATCTGCAAAGTGCACCAAAGCAGAAGTCTTGCTGTGATAAAAAGCCAGTTTGTATTCAGAGGAGATAGAATATAAAGAACAAATTGATACTAATAGATATTAATGGCCTTTTAGGACTAAGCAAATAGTATAGAAAGCACACAAGGCAAAATCAATGCGTGGAGACTTTCACTCTTCATATTTGAGGCTGAACAGAAGTGGTGTGGAGATTAGTGAATGGTGTGGAAGATTAAAATGTTAAAATTGATGATTGTAGGTAACAGGGAAGAAATCGCATGAGGTAGTAGCTTATGAAAATGGGGATTATAATGAAATTCATCAAAGTTCTGAAGTAAAATAGTTGTTATCAGCAGCTACAGCCAGAAGTATTAACATTTCTCGATGATGACTACCTCGTACTTCCATGCTTTTAGACTGTCAGTGTTAAATTTCACTAAGTCTTTAAAACCCATGAAGTTGTAAGAGAGACTGGCAAGTAGTTAATGTTATGAAAATTAGGATGTGTCTGACAGAAGCAAGGAAGATGTTAAGTCATACAAAGGTGTAATGATTAGTGGTGGCTATTAAAAGTTATGGAAAATTACTTATTTGATTAATCTTATTTTATTTGCTATTTTTAAAATAAAAATGACATAATAAGTATCTGCATTTCAGTTGACATTTTAAATCTTGTAA